AGATCGAAAATCGCCTGGAATAAATAAATCAACAAAAACATTTTTCAAAAACAAATAGTCAATTAATTTGGAAAGTTTTTCGTATTGTAAATTTGTTTTATTCGCGGTTCAGTGCTCGCAGTCGCTGTTCGAGCTGGTAGAGGGTGATTGGTGATGTTGAAATACAGCCACCCGGGATCTGTAGCAGTAGCTTGTCCAGTACTTCGATGAGAGAGTCGTGTTTCAACGAAATGCTCCACTTACGACGCAAATAATACGTCCTATTTTGAATTTTGCGACGCTCCTTTTTTCTCTTTTTGACGCTGTTTGATTGCGCCCTTGCTGCAATCACGTTTTTTTTTTTCGTGTCTATTTTTCGAATAGACAGTTGAAAATACCTTTCGGCACTTGTTGCAGCGTCGCTTGGGTAAGGGCCCAGGCTGGCCTAAGCTCTTCCTCTTCTTCGTTGTCGCCTCCATTTTCTGGAATGAGAGAATGGCGAGGGCGGGCTAACTGCAATGTTGAATTGTAATTTACAACGTAACAATTGTAATTGTTCGATAGTCAATTCCAAATTGTCATTTGCATTACATGTATTATAATGTATATATTATTTGTTTTGAAAAGCAGCGAGACAAATTGACCTTTTTTTATTACTTACACCTCAAGCTCCGTAGCCTCGAGCTCCTTAGATTTTCCCGATCGACAGAGTCGTGGTTTGTTCGTATAGATGTTTCTATTAAAATAGTATTTTTATAAATGTTTACTTTCTCTATTTGATTTGAGATTATATTTGGTGGCTGTGTATCAGGAAAACCTTTAAGGGAAAACCTTAGGGATAAAATCATCATGATAAAAATAAAAGCGTTTAAAACGAGAAAGAAACATATGTAATTCTGTGACTCTTTTAGCTGTAAAGTGATACATTGTGGTTTAATTGCTGTTTTATCGGTCTTAATTAAACTTCCTTAAGTGAGCGCATGCCCAGTTTGCTTCTCAAATGTCTAAATTGGTGTTTATTAAGTGCTTAGTCAAAAATATCGGGTACCATTGCTTATGTGCTGCAGTAAACCACACTAAATTCATGTTGTTTAACTTTCTTGGGCAAAGTGATATCTAGTATCAATGTGCTTTGAACGACCATGCAGCTCAGGGTAATTCAAACTTTTCATGCAACTTTGGTAGTCGGATAACCTAGTTCTTTAAGCAGAAACTTTTAAATTATGGTATTGCATACGATGGCACAGTGCAGTGTGCCAGGCCTCTGTTGTCGAGAGCACTACTCTGTGGAGCTTCCGCGATAGCCATGAAATTGGATTTTGATCTATCATTGCTCGTCTAACCGCGTACACGGACTCAGACTACGCTAATTGTCCCGATACTTGACGTACGCTGAAAATTGTCGTCGTAGACGATTCCCGATAGCCGCAGATCTGGAGGACATCTGCATGCCCAACGGTCATAGTATTACTAGCTGCAACTGAATAAATACCATTTTCTAAATGTAACCTAGCAATTGCAGCAACGGTCCAATAGTGTGTCGATTCTGTTCAATGTCGCCCATATACAAACGACTGCCAGCAATATGCAGTTGGAGAATAAATACACAAAATATACTTCACGAGACTGCACGCGATAAATCTTGTTTAAATTCGCCAGACCGTGCGATGAATTCCTGAATATGTGAGTCTTGAGCTCCCGAAGGCTCACCAGCCAATTATAGTGCATGCTGAAGTGCAAGGAATAGGCAAGTTCCGGTTGGATTTGCACCGGCAACGCTGGGAAATAATTCGGACACGAGCTAAAAAAAAGTTGCTTCCGCCGAGCATCGACCCACTCATCGACGCGCAGGCCAAGCTTGTGCTGACGCCACATAGGGCGTCGTTGTTGCCTGTGAACTTCGATATGCTAATGTTTCAACGTGTTAGCAGAAGTTACTGGGGTGAATGACGCATACCAGCAGATGTGAAGGTGCTGCGCCGTCTTTTAGTGCGGTGAGCACGTAAGACTGCCAATACACTTTGTATTTGACAATGATTATCTATTGTTTGTATGTTTTGAATAACTTATTATGGAGACTGAAATCAGGCCTTTCAATTTGAAACGGTATTTTGCGAGCCCCCTTCTCATGTTGTGTCTGAGACTAAGGTGGCCCAATTAGCTGAGTCGTACCCGCCGACCAAATCGACGCTTCACCTCGGCCCCAACTTACTGAAAGAGCCCCGCTTGGTTTGTTAGTTTGTCATTTCTATTGTTTCTAAAAACATCCGCATTACGAAATAAGAATTTTTGCTAAAAATGAAGCTTACTTAAGTACTTACCGGTACTAAAAGTTGTAAGGAGAAAAACATGTTGGATTTCTTATTTTTCACAATAGGAGTCTGAAAAAGAAACAGAATTTTTTGGCCATGCCTGACCAACGCAAGCGGCGGCGCTCTCGCTCACGTTCGCGCTCGGCGAGTAAGCGTCCAGCTGTAGAGCTGGACGAAGAGCAGCGCCAAGAAGCAGAGCGCATAGCTGCCATCGCCAAACGTGCAGAAGAGCGAGCAGCCGAGCGACGGACAAAGGAAAAGGAGGAAGCCGCTTCTAAGTCGAAAGATGCGTCTTCGAGCGAGCGAAAGCTGCCACTGAAGATCGAAGAAGCCTCCGCAGCAACGGAAGAGCCTCCTTCCAAGCCGACGTTCCGTTCGAAAGCTCAGAGACAGAGAGACGCGCTCGAGAGACTCGAGAAGAAGCGACAGGAGGTGAAAACACACTTCACATTGTCATTTTTACTGCTACATTGCTAATTAACTGTGTTGACAGATGGACAAGCAGCGAAAGGAGACGGAGGAAGCTCGACGCCAGTTCCTGCAGCGTCAGCGCAGCGAGAGAGAACGAGACCGAAGCGCCAGGTCCAATGGAGACCGTCGTCGTGATGATCGAACTGGAAGCTCCAGAGACCGACGTGGAGAAACAACTTCTTCATCGAAGAACGAAGACAAACCAGCACTACTCGATCCTAGCGAGGCGAAGGCTCTACAAGCTCTGAAAGATCAGTACTTGGGAAAGACAGTGAAGAAGAAGAAAGTAATCAAAGCGAGTGAGAAATTCTCCAAAGTTTTTCAGTTTGACTGGGAAGCTTCCGAGGATACAAGCGCGGATCTAAATCCGTTGTATGCCCATCGTATGGATGTGAATCTACTCTATGGACGCGGTTATCGTGCCGGTGTGGACATGCGTGAACAACGCAAGCAGAACTCGTTCTTGGAGGAACTGAGTCACAAGCGCCAGAAGGAGCAACAGCAAGCGGACGCGACTGACGGCAGCTTAACGAGTGAACAGATCGCAGCTAGACAGCAAGAACGCGAGCGTGCTCTGCGCAATATGCAGGCTCGCGAACGAGACCGTATCCAGGAGATGGCATCCCGGGAGGCGAAGACTATGGGCACGCACTGGTCGGAGAAGTCGCTGGATGAGATGAAGGAGCGTGACTGGCGTATCTTCCGTGAAGACTTTGACATTACGCTCAAAGGTGGACGCGCTCCTCATCCTCTACGTAAGTGGAGCGAAGCAGGCAAGATGCTGCCGGACGCTGTGTACAAGGCCATTAAGGACTTAGGCTTCGAACGCCCGTCACCTATTCAGATGCAGGCTATCCCTATTGGATTGCAGAAGCGCGATATCATCGGTATTGCAGAGACTGGTTCCGGTAAGACTGCAGCCTTCGTGATCCCTATCATCGCCTACATCTACTCTCTACCTGCTACAATGGTGGCACGGACGGGCGAACAAGGTCCGTTGGCGCTGGTTATGGCACCTACGCGTGAACTGGCGCTGCAGATTGAGCAAGAAGCTATTAAGCTGTGCAAGCACACGAGTGTGGGGCTACCAGAGAAGATGAACCCTATCAAGACTTTGTCGGTTGTTGGTGGACAGAGCATCGAAGACCAGGGATTCCGTCTTCGTGAGGGTGTCGAGATCATCATCGGTACTCCTGGTCGTCTCATGGATTGTCTGGAAAGCCACTACTTGGTGCTGAACCAGTGCAACTATGTGGTGCTGGATGAAGCCGATCGTATGATTGATATGGGCTTTGAACCGCAGGTTGTTGCTGTCTTGGAGAACATGGGGTCACTGTTGAAGTCGGAGAACGAAGAAGAGATGGAACAACAACTCACGTTGGCGAATAGAGCTCAGCTAGGAGAATTTCAGCATCGTCTTCGTGTCACGACCATGTTCAGTGCCACGATGCCTGTCGAGGTGGAGCGTCTAGCGAAGACGTTTCTACGCCACCCGTCGATTGTCAAGATTGGCGATGAGGACTCTGGCAAGAACAAGCGTATCGAACAACGTGTCATGTTCATGAATCCAGGCAAGAAACGCTCCAAGCTGGTGGAGGTGCTGCGTGATATTCTCAGTGCGCAGAATGTTCCGGTGCCTCGGTCTCGTAAGGAGAAAGTGGTGGATGGCGCCAAGATCATCGTGTTCGTCAACATTAAGAAGGAATGTGACTCGGTGGCCAAGTTTATCTCGAGCGAAGGCTTCCGTTGCACCATCTTGCATGGCGGCAAGACGCAGGACCAGCGAGAAGAGAGTCTCAAGATGTTCCGCGAAGGATATTGCGATATGTTGGTGGCTACGGATGTGGCTGGACGTGGTCTGGACATCCCTGATGTGACGCATGTTGTCAACTTCGACCTACCGTCCAAGATCCAGAACTACTCGCACCGTATCGGACGTACCGGTCGTGCCGGTAAGGACGGTGTAGCCATCTCGCTCCTCACTGACGACGACGAGGAGATCATGTACGACCTCAAGCAATATCTCGTGTCGACAGAGATGCCTGTACCCAGTGAACTGGCCAATCATCCGTCTGCTAAGGCTGCTCCGGGTGCTCGTGACGAGAAGGGAAACGTCATTGCTCGCTCCAAACGTGACACTGTCATCTACGCCAAATAAGGGACAGGAACAGGGGCTTCATTTCTGGGTGCTGTGTTGATGGTTTTTATTGTCCCTCTTTATATTTACTCGTGAGGTGGCTGGTTTTTTTTTCGTTTAGCTGATCTCTATGGACACGCCGAGGTGGTGTGAGTCGCTATCGTAGTGTCGCAAGTCCATCTGCGCTGATACGCGCGTCTTAAGATGTTTGGATGTGCGCCACTCGAATGCTCCGATGAAAATGCCGTCCGAGCCGATAGAGCTCGACACCGTCTCTGTCTCCTTCAACGCGTACCTGCCCATGAGTCTCAACGATCGCTTGTCTTTTCTTCGGTCGAATACAAAGCGTGAGCTCACCAGAAGCTCCGGCAACACTGTTTGGGTCAAGTCCAACTGCACCTTGCGACCTCCATCATTGCTAAAAAAAATGTTATAAGTAACAAAAAAAATAATAAAAAATATCCACATTTTACGTACACTTGTAGGAGAGCTAGCAGGTCTTCGTGAGTATAGCTCGTGGCCATGTTGAGTGTTGTGAATCTGCCCAGTCTGTCGCTATGGTCCAGTCCGACGTCGTAAGCTCCGATAATCCCCATGGCAACATCGCCAGCTTTCCCTCCTAGTGTGGCTTGAAGTGTCGGTCCATTAACTGCGTCGATCTTAGCTCCTGCAAAGAAGCTCTGTGTCTTATAATCAGCCCCGATGTGCGCGAAAGACGCTGGTGCCTTGTCTGTTGCGGACTCCTGAGCTTCCAGAGTGAAGCGCAGATTGTTACTGGCCTGGAGATGCGCCTGAAGAGCCAAATGACGCGACGAGCTCACACGCAGACTGGAGGTGATGATAGAGTTGAGCTGACTCTCACACACCAGCGCCGACTCGACACTGCGCTTGACTGCAGCTTTAAAGAACGAGGCCAGCACACACGTCTGCAGTCCGATGGCTGTGCCGCTTGGCGTGAGAGTGTTAATCTCCAGCGAATGGAGCGAGTGGGTAGTGGGATCTAAGGGCTCATTCAGTCGTGTGTTCTCGGCCAGGAAATCGGTGTACAGGCTGCTACTAAGCCCCGCCGTAGCACGTCGACCCGCCATGATCGAGAGGCGGAGCGATGAAGTCTGGGGGCCGAGCTACTACCACCGGAAAGACAAACAGATCGTACAGAATATCACACAAAATTCAGCTGATTCGCTGAAACAGATAAAAGACAAGATATCATTGGTGGATAAAAACAAAAACAAAAAAAATGCTGACAAACATTCTAGCTCTGAAGGCCGGCGGTATCTGCGAGCTCTTCATGCGGGTCGTCGATCGCCTCCCAGGGCTCGCGGAGTGGACAGGATGGTGATGGATTGCCATCTACATGTGCTTGCTCCTCCAACAGATCATCTGCCGACACCTCGTTCTGTTCTTCATGCTCTGGCTCCGTCTTGGCCACATCGCCTTCTTTTCCTGCGTCCTCTTCAAGTCCGGCCTCATTCTGCCGCCCACTGTCGTTCTTCTCTTCTTCCTCCGATTCATCCTGCAGATCAATGACGTCCGTCGGACGTCGAGATGCCTGGCAGTCACCCATCTGCGCTAGTTGTCTGTTCCTTGGCGCTATCGCTGCAGCAACTTGGTCGTTTGGCGACATATACATTGTCCCAGCCACTGGACCACCACGCGGCGCCAAGGCTCTCGTAGGGTCTGGCTCGACCCAATTAGGTTCACGTGTTGCCGATGCTGTAGCCCCTCCGCCGTGGACATTGAGCCTCGCTGCAGCAGCTGACTTCAAGTTAAAAGGACGCACAATTAACGTCGACTCCACGAGCTTGTAGAAGCGTAGCGCTCGGTCGAATTCCGACGCATCCATCTCCATCATGCGCTGACTGATACGTTTCCCCACTTCCTGTGCTGTAACGTACTTCTGCCAGGCGCCAGGATGGGGAACAACGTTGCTGAATTCGTGATCTGGTCCCGTATCTCGACCAATTTCCATGGAATTATCCTCGAAAAAGTGTTTGGCCCTGGTCAACACCCAGCGAGGCTCGATATGTTCCATCGGAATTAACGTACTGCAGCGGGTAATACGTCGAACGTAAAAGACGTGACGACACGGTAAGCGATGATTCGTCATAAAGGCACACGAACATTGCCAGCCTCGCTCGGCCTCGACACAAAACTCCTTGGAAGGATCATCGCAGAAAACCTCGTTGTGGGCCACAGCAGACACAAAGAACGATCCACGTGTCGGCTCAAAGAACTGGTACGCGCCTCGGGATATGGAATACCGGTATTGCGGGAACACCAAGCTACTAGCTGCGGGACTCACAGTAGCAGCCAATAGTCGCATCTCCGCGTCGTACTCCTCGCCACCAGAGCCACTTTGGATCGCAGCAATGTTGCAATTGCTCAGCTCAGTATTCAAGTCCCGTAGAAACGCACGCTCCACGACCGTTTGATAGTATTGGATAGCTGCGACCGTCTCGTCCAGAGCCATTTCTTCGTTAACCGCAGCGAAGATACCTTGCCACGTAGACGCGAACTGCCCGTCGTATTCCGAGATACTGAAGGTCGTCACGCCTTCACGAGCGAATGTCGTCCAGCGATCTCGACACGAATCCCACATTTCGACGTAGTAGCAGAAAAAAGAGTGTTGTTTCGAGCCTAGAACGTCAGCCATGAGAGCGATATTTGCACCGTAGACGGGAGCAGTGGGCGCGTACACCAGCAGCTGAGCGATCCCCGTGAGACGGTCCCGATGCCACGACGTTAAGTCCTTGCCATGCTCTGCGATCGCCTTGTGGAGAGCTCGCACCACGTGGAACTGCGAGTACAGCACACGAGCGGAAGGGAAACTTGATCGCAGCTCCTCGATGAGTCCTGGTGCGTCATCACTTGGCACGATCAAGGCGCGAATGCGAGCATGACGAGCGTTGTGCGCCTTGAATTGATCCAGAGCAACACGAAGTGTCTCGGATCGGTCGCTTTCCACGATAGCGTGCTGAACGTACTGCCATTTACCAAGTGTGTCATGTGCCATTAGCGAGAAGACGCCGTAACTTGATTCAGAGGTGTTCTCCTTAGAAGGAGGCAAGGTATCCACACGTAACACTTCGGGGAAAGCTGCAAAGACCTTGCGCATGTGCTTCGTCTGGAGCGTAATACTCGACAAGACCTTCTACGCTTCCATAACATCATAACCCCATTAGTTTCTGCGACTGTTCACTTTAATTTTTACAAGATTGCACCTCGTTATCGACGAATATCTTGGCCGCGTTGCCCTCCAGTGCTGCAAACTCGTTGACGTAGGTAGCGAGATGTTCCTCTACCGACTGAAGCACATCTCGCTGATTCGAACGCACTCGCTTGACGCGCTCAAGAAAGGAACGCACATCTGCCATTGTGGGAATGTGGGTCATATCTGCGCTGCTTTTCCTCGCGCCACTTTCATCCGATCTGTAGTACTTCCGAGGACGACCTACACGTCGTCTTTTGGTCTGTTGCGTCTCCGGTGAGACTCCTGGCTGCAGTGTTGAGGCTGAAGCCATGGAGGCAGCTGCAGATACAGCCACAGCACCCCCTCCAAGTGGGTGGTTGTGGACGAGACTGGCTTTGGTTACGCGAATGCGGTACTGTCCGTCCTCGCAAAGCTGCAGAGTCGCATTTATCTGTGCACATAACCTGTTAACTACTTCAGATTATAGTTCATTATGGCAACTACAACGTACCCTGGCCTGGCACTCAGATGGCTGCTCTCGGTTCCAGCGAACATGAGCTCGTGCCGCCTCCCCTCGTAGCTTGTGGGAGCATTGCAACATCCGCGTGTAGTCCAGAAAACTCTCTGGCAATAGCGGACTTGGAAGAGGGCGACCAGAGCCAGCAATCGAAGCCAAAGCCTGGTTACGCGCCTTGACAGACGTGGCACTACGACGGCGGAAGGTCTTAAGAAAAGCGTTAGGAGGCACTACGCAATTAGTTAGCCCGTACAGTAAACGAACCTGACGAGTGCGGAGCTGATACTCCTCCATATACGCGAAGAAGGCGTCCCACGATGCGAAGTTGAGGCGCTCCAAGGGCGGCGCTGGCCACGACCTAGACGCGGTCGCGGTCTCCATTTTTTCAACAATCAGATGTTGTGTGCGTGTTGTGTGGTTTTACTGCACAGTGAAAATAAAAGGTTGGAATTTGCTTAGCAAATACATGCATTCCTACCTTTTACTACTTTTGTTTTTTAGTAATGCCCATCGCAATAATAACTGATCTTGATAAAATATCATGTCATTGTTGTCGCCTAATGCATTTATTGTCAACGCGGTACGCAAGCCAAGTCATCCATGTAATTTACCGCATAGTCGATATCATAATTTACAAGCCCACCCATTCCAGGTGACCGCTTAGCATTTTCAAATACTGCAAGGAAATTGTTGCAAATCCATGGGGTTATGAACCAATAGGATTGTAGTTTGATGTGAAAGACACGCAATTTGAGGTTTACGCCGACCAGAATAATCTGACCAGCTAAACTTAAATAATTGGCGTGGCTGGTCACCTCCATGTCATTGGCCAGTGACCACCACGTCACAATCAGTCACAAGAAGCCTCATGGAGTATATTTCGTTATTTTACAACTGCAGATAGCTGGCTTGCGTTTGTCAATGAATGACAATCAACACAGTACTGGACATCGGGATATTGCTGTATTTACTAGGTTGCAGTTCGAATATGGTATCTTTTCAGTTGCAGCTAGCAGTACTATGGCCGATGGACATGTATTGTCCTACCGATCTGCACGCCATGCCATACCATGGCACAAAATCAGATGATCTTATTGGCTAGCATTTCGCTGGGGTCAGAGACTAAAGTAAATGAAATGGCACGGGGCGCCATGGATAGCATGCACAAGTGCCGCGTGGAGTGTCATTGCCATCATGCCATCGAGAAGAGATTTTGTTTTGTCTTCATTCTTCTTTGCCTAAAACAATAACTTCTGCGATCCCACGCCCATGGCACAGTAGCAGGCAAACCTAATTCCTAACTACGCGATTCCATGTCTCGTTTTGTTTTTGTGACATGGCATGACACATGTGGCAGTCCTTAGGAGCGACCCTCAGAGCAGCATATGCCGCTCCAATCAGGCAGGGTATAGTAGCTAACATTTTCAGTCAGTGCGCCTATTTCCAGTATCGAGACGATCCCACGCCAAATATGAAAGCAGCTATTGATGCCAGTTGCTTTAGCCATCTGTAGAAATAGACTAATGACATAGGATGTCATTTCGCTTCGTACAATACTTTATTTTTCACACCAGCAAGCTTCCAGCTTCCAATGCAACAAATGAGGCAAGCTAACGGCATTCGGAGCTACAGCAAAGTCGTCTACGCACCTACGGGCCTGCCAGATTGGTCTGGAACATTGGTATTAAAAAAAGCCCCTGCCAAGGACCAAAATGACGGCATCTATCAATCTAAACGAAGCAATACTGTAATGGGCCCAACTCCAATTACATAAGTAGGTAGATATTTCTTTATTATTACATAAGTAGGTAAAGTGGCACACGGGTAGCGTGTGCCAAGATGTCATCATCTGATTGGTTGATAGTGAGGAGCCAGACTCACTTATTGACCAATCAGATAAAGACATGTGTTTGAGTGGTTCACACGAGGCCAGGGGTAGCCGCCTTGGTCCTAAATAAATCAGAGTTGAATTTGACACAAACCTAAGACTTGGTTTTACTATTGCGAGCTTCCTCCACACTATAGTGTAAGCTAGTGACGGTATCTCTTACCCCGTTACACCTGGTAGCACTTTGTAGTCCTTCCAACGACCAAGTCTACGATGAGCCAAGTCCAGATCTCCGGGGCGACCCTGGAGCATGCTGCATTCCCCCATCTCACTCGCGTGGAGTGGGAGGCGCTCCACCGCCTCGTGGCGGTGTCCGGAGACGCTGTCGTCGCATCGCTGCTGAGCTCAGCGACGCCCCACCAGCAACGTCTTGCAGCACAAGAGTTCATGGAACGCGAGCTCGCCGATGCGAATCGGCGGGTGTCAACTCCCTCGCGTCCATCCCAGAATGACGTCGTCAAGATGGAGAAGTCTACGTATTCTGGCGTCGGTGAAAACCGGCTCCCGCTAAACCGGTGGTTCCGCGAGATCGACATCGCTATCGCCTCGCGACGCATCGAGGCGTCATCCGCCAAGATGAACTTCCTCCTCTCCCGGTTAACCGGGAAGGCCAAAGAATGGGCCCTCGGGAAGCTGGTTGTCGACCCCGAGGCTTTCCCGACTCTGGAAACTCTCCAGAGCGACTTGCGCCTCGCGTTCGAGCCCCCGCAAGATGAGTCTCGCGTTCGCGCAGAGTTCTTCGCTCTTCGGCAAGGGCAGATGTCCATGCGTGATTACGTCCAGAAGACGCGACATCTGGCGTCATGTATCGTGACCAAGCCAATCGACATGGCCTCGCAAGTCCACGTATTTGTGTTCGGCATGCGCGAGGGTATGACCCGCTACTGCCTCACCAGAGCTGAGCCCTCCTCTCTCGAGGAGGCGTTTGCACTCGCGATTCGCGAGGATTACATGGTCGCTGCATCGTACGCCGCAGCCATACCTGCGGAAGCCCGAGAGTCTACCCCCGAGCCCATGGAGATCGACGCCATCAACGCGTCGAGCGATCGACGTCGCGGGTCCTACCGCGGTAGCGCTGGGCGAAGCAATCGTTCCCTCATTTGCTTCCGCTGTGGGAAGAAGGGTCACCGCGCGGCGGAGTGCCGCGCGCCAGCTCCCGTCGTCTCTCACGTCGATGCGGAGCTGTAACGGGCCTGGGGTGTCCGTTACTTGCTTACACGTAGTGATGAGGAAGCGTACAAGTTCAGTGATACTGAAACCAAGTACTTAGTCTGAAGGAAAATCAACTCTGTTTTTATTTAGGTCCAGGGCAGCTTGCCCTGACCACTCAAATACACGTCAACTCCTTATTGGTTGATTATGGGTCTGGCTCCCCATATTTCAACCAATAAGGTGACGGCAGTTCAGCACACGCTACTCGTGTGCTGCTGCACCTACTTTTGTAATGCAAATCTACCTACTTATGTAATGGTGTGAACCACTACAAAGAACCTATAAAACTACCTACATATGCAACTTGGGAGAGCCCATTACATCACCCCCCTCTTAAGACAGCAATCACCTAACGGGGGTGCGCTTCGGAGAACAATCGGGAAAAACTGGGAAATGGCGGAGAAGAGAACGCTTGAGAACTTGACGGGCGGGAGCTCCTGCGAAGCCCAGGAGCAGCACAATACAACTTGCGCGGACGAGAACAACATGGCGCAGCAGACGGGGGCGGCGAACCAGGCAGGAAGCGGAACAACGCGGACGGCTCCAGCGTCGGCGACGACGCTGAACAATGGGTGGACCGCTGATATCGCACCTGAGAGCGTGAGTCGACTTGGGGTTCGGCCCGGCGTAATGAACGAGGATATGAAGCCGTGGGCGCTGTACGACTTGTCCGGGGCGGTGACCCCGGACGCGTTGGACACCATGCAGGACCACTTTCGGCGCTTCAGGCGTCTCCGGAACAAAACACTCGACGGCGCGACGTACGAAGCTTTGCAGAGATCATGGTGCGCATTCATCCGACGGTGGAATCGGATGCATGAGGCTGGAGAAAGTGTCGTCGGCTGGCTCGGTGATCGCGAAGCCTTACAAGCCGAGCATTCACTCGGTGATCTGCGCCTGAAAGTCTGCGACGACGCTTGGACCGAAGACCGTTTGTGCTATGTCAACGTACGCGAAGGTTGCAGTTCGTGTGACATCGGGCGACGCCCGACGCAAGCAGAGTGGAATCAGCATATTGTCGAGTTTCCGCTCATGCCGACCGGACACGTTTGGATCGAGAAGTATAAGCGCTCATTTTTCAAGTTCACCCAGGCGGCTATTCGCGGCGGCTCGCGCCGACAGCGCTCGCGACGAAGCCCGTCTCCGGCGCATTCGACGTCTCGTAGGGCGCGTAGTCGATTGCGTTCTCGATCGCCGCGAGGTCGCTCGCGGCCGCGTTTGACTCGAGGCTGGAGTCGTAGTCGTGGACGACATCAGGAACGTCACGAAACAAGTTGGCGCGAGGCTCCCACGTATCATCAGCAGGTTGAAACCCGAGCCATCGTACCTTATACTTCCGCGCGGCGGGAGCCGCGTGTTGAGCTGACGACTTGGTCGAGTGACGCGCGCGGGGAGGATCTTCGTGATCAACAATACGGTCCACAATCCAGCACGTATCTCCATTCGAGTCAACGATGGGCGGAGGACCGTCGCGGTGGAATTCGACGCGACCTGGTTGACCAGGACGACGTTGATCAGGCGCTGAACACTTCTCGGGACGCACAGGAGGAGGCCGAGCGGGCGGCTGAGAGCTCTCGGAACGCCGAGGCGACGGCGAGTAGTCTGCGGCAGTCTAATCGTGAACTCTTGCAGCGACTGCGTAGTCTGGAGGCGCAGGTGTTTGGCGGACCGAGGAGTGGAGCTTTTCCGCGCGAGCGGGGAACTGGGACAGATGGGACGCTGGCTCGACAGGCTCATCGCGAGGGCCGCTCAACGCGTGCTCCTGTCCCGCCTCCGGGATCATCGCGGGAAGATACTTCTTAAGTCGCCCGACGTAGAACGTCGGGTGTAGTCGTAGCGACGTAGGAATGTCTAGCGTGTAGGCATCACCCATAACTCGTAGTACTTTGAATGGCCCAATGTAGCGCGGCGCGAGTTTGCTCGCGCCTAGGTTCGTAATAGCAGAGGTACGAATTCCATCCGTTGAGAGTAATACCCGCTCACCAATCTTGAATGCACTTGTGTTCTTGCGGCCACGTTTGTCAGCGTTTTCCTTCTGCTTGTCAACCGCGAGTTGTAGCGCGTCACGGACGAATCGGGTAACCGATTGGCGATGAAGGACAAAGTCGGATACCGCTGCCTTGTCAGCGGGTCGTGCTGGGGGTTTCGGCGCGTAGTTAGCCACAGTCGAGTGTGGCTGTGCTGGAGCGATCAGCGTTCGGTGTGTCCAGTCAACTAACGGCGACGACGTGGATTGCGCGGGTGCGAGGATCTTCTTCGACTGTAAACGCGTCACCGCGT